GTTGCTGCGACTGTCCGTCGTGTATATGCCTTTAGGTCTTGGGTCGTATAATATAATAATAACGGCGACAAAGCCGGGACCCCACGCGATAACAAAGGGTTGTGTGTATGCTTACTTGGGGTGCATATACATGATACATGTATAGGCGATGCTGGTGTGTTGTAATGTTGCATATTATTATAAAGGAGTTTACATAAAACGAAGAAAAGGCTTGGGGAAGTGGTCGCAAGGGATGTTTCACCGAGGGGGAGAGAACATATATAATATAAACCGATCGAGGTCCATTGGCGAGGTCCAAATATACATACATTTGTATGTATATCATATTAGTATTATTGTTATTATTATGCGCGGACGTACAAGGAGGGGGAGCAAGTCCATTTGAAATTTTGGAACCGTGCCGCCAAATCGTTTCCGTGGGACTTTCCATAATATAGTATCGACGGTGATATAATGTATATATCTACGTTCTTCACCTGAACGTTTTGTGGTATATTTCTCGTGCAAATGTACCGTACTATAATAATAATATACCTATCTGCGTGTGTTGGTTTAATCCACCACCGCCCCTTGCACGGTACCTCCTCTATATAAATAATATAATATAATCGGAGTGAGACCGGATTATATTATAATATATAACATCAAGCTCGATTTATTCTTTGTATTATTATATACATTTTTTTTCCTCGAAACAGTATTTCTGTGTATCTGTGTATATCGTTAAATGTGAAATACGGTTATCGCCTGAGTTCTCTGTTCTGGAGCTATATCGCCCGGCTAAGTATTAACAAGGCAAGGTCTTACGCCGCCGTATCACCTGCACCCTATACATATATATGCATTTGTCGCACACCTGAGCGCTCAAAGTTTTCGAATAAAATTCGTCTGGCCGTGTAATGGACCCGTTCGTTTGTATATTGCCCGGCAACTGTGTTGTATAATTATTTGAAAAACAAAAAATTCACCGACTATACCCGCCCCTCTAAACGCGCCTAACCGTTATTGGAAAATCTCCGGTAATTGCTTCAATCCCTTTCGGTTCACGGCGGCCGGTCTCGAGAGGGTGCTCCTGGCCTCTTTGTACGCGTTTGTTTGATAAAAAAGTATATATAATATATATACTATACCTGGTTTACCGAGCCGAATTTGTTCGGGAAAAAGCCCTGTTTAACTGCGGCAGCGTTGAAAAAAAACAAAAAAAACAACCTTTTACATTTTTAAGCCTCTCTCGCGGTTATCGTACAGCGTCAGTTCCCAAAAGTGATAATATGTTTTTATCATTTGCAATTAAACCCCGCGTTAAGTGCCCACTAGATAGAAGGAAGACGCATGTAAATCCGCATCGAAAAACGTCAGGTCTATATTATAACGACGGCAATGTTTACTCGACGTTTTTTAAGTTGATGTGTTTGTTTTGGGTTCACTCGGCCGTCTTGTTATTTAAATTCTGTCGGTTGTATCTACTTACAGTACCGTGTCGAGACGGGGCCGTCTTCACAAATAAAAGTTCTTTCTAGGCCGTCTCGTTCACAAAACGGTTTAGTTAACGACCCGGATTATTACATATTATTTTATTTTCTCTTCAAAATATATTTGCAATTTTTCTAGTTTTTCTTTTGTTTATGTATTTAGTATTTGTCGGAGCTCTGCAACCCTGTATATTGCACATTGTATCGATGGCTTAATTAAAAAATGGAGCATGTACTAATAATAACGATTTTACAGATGAACGTTTTAAAGTATTTCCTTTGTATACATCCGCGTTGACAGTACTCGACACAAACAGTTGCTTGCTTATGACATTTTTTAATCAAGTCACCCGTGTAATATATATATAGTATAGACATTACAGCCGAGAGTTTAACGTAGTATGTTTGCTTATATAAAAACGACTTAATTACTTTTCGGAGGCTACGAATTGGGTCATTTACAAAACGAATCGTGGCGGGTGCAGTATGAAGATATATATTTTTTTGTACACTTGTAAGTTATTGGCGAACGAATATGAATAACAAATCGGTTAATTGTCGAGAATTTCCTATGAATTATGGCGGTACAATTTTCTAAGCGACTAAAAGTGCATGTGCAATACTATATACTAATAGCGTTGCATATGTAATAATATTGATAACAATACATGTAATGTCGTACCACCGAGACGGTCGTCAGGAGACGTGCGATAATATTCAAAGCGTTGATTTAAATGTGCAACGATAAGTTGATAATGGTTGCAAGAAAATGCAAAACTGTCGGCCGAGTCGACGCGGCAACGACGGCGGCGGTGTACCGCTAACGCGCGGGCTTTATTCGACACGAGCTCCGCGTGGGCGCGCAGAGGCGGCGGCCGTATATTGCCGGTCCGATAATTTACGACCTACCGAGTTTTGTTTTCTCGTACCGACACACACAAAACACGATATATACATATATATGTATAATACACAAACACACACACACAGGTACAAGCAGACTACACGGCGTGCCTTTTAGCCGCGGCCTACAAAAACCGTTTTATAAACGTCACCCGGCAAATGTGATTTATTATATCCATCCCCCGGTGTATAATACTATACCGCCGAAAGATACCACTCTTCTGTCGGTACCCATCCCACCACCACCCCACCTATCTCGGACTGCAGCTGTATGCACTTTTCGCCACCAGTAGAGACGGACGGAAGATGGTGAGCTTAATGTGCGTCCACACAACCGTCGCACAAACGATAAAACTATATGTTTTTATTATTGGATGAAAAGTTGATGGAAAAAATATTCTGGCACCGGTTTCCCCCGAAACAGTACACCCAAATGGTAGGGGTAACGTTGCTTTTATATCATAATAATAACACATATTGTTTGATGTTATTGAAACGTTCAAAGCGCAAAACGGAATAATATATATATTTGGTACTATTGTTAGTATGTTGTGTGTAATTGTGTGTAGGTGCACACTTCAAAGCAATCGTTATACTATTATTATTTCAAATTTGATAGCCGACTCGAAACAAACGGCACGACCAGCCCGGTTTGTGGCATTTTAACGCCCTAACCCGTCAAAGGTCGAACGCGGGGCGACGGTCGCGCTAAGCTTTCTAGAACAATTGGTTTTTAGCGTTTGGTAAACGGGCGTGTTTGTATAAGGTTAGGGCGGCGCGCGGCGGTGGTGCCGTTAAGACGACGGGTTAATCGAAAGAAAACATCGGTAAAAATCAGCAATTGTTTGACCGGAGAAGAGCCGGCGGAGGGTTGGAGGAGATGTAAGGGAGAGCCGGGGAAGTATCGGCTAGAAAAACAACGCTGTTAACAACGCATTGATCCGGGCCGAAAATATTCTACGACCAAGGGTTGGCCGAGGGCAGGCCGGAGGGGCAAATAAACTTTTATTGTTATAACTCGTTAAGTGCGTTTAACCGCAATGGCCGGTTCGCGTCTAACGCCCTGCGAAATAGACGTTTTTTCGACATGTACACACACACACATTTAACCGGACAGGGGTCGTTCGATTAATCAAAACAATTATTATTATTATACAGTGTGGTGCACGGCGCGCGTTACGGATGGATTCGATTAAAACAATTTAACACGAGGCTTTGGCCGCGAAAAACTACCGGACTCTGAGCGGATTAAAGTGCGCGCGGTACTGCAAAACCGACCAAATCGGATTCGGTGTTCATCAAAAAGCCCGTCGACGACGACGACGGCTGTATTATATTATTGCAAAAAGCCCGGTCATTATGACGCCCAGACATAGTGTTTCTCGTCCGCTCTTGTAGCGACGTAGTACCCTTTCGAAAGCAGTTTACTCACAGAGGGTTTTTTTATAAAGCAAAATACACACAACATTGCTATACACGCGTTACCTTTACTCGGCGGTATCGCCTGGAAATCAAGATTGACCTTGATAATATGTTCATATTATATTACTATAATTTATATATCTACATATTATATGTACTTAAAGACGCGCGGTTGTAGAACCGCTAAAATTAGAGAGTGGGCGTCCGTTCGGTCCGGTCAACGGTCGGTCGAGTGTTGAAAACCTTTGTTTTTCTTTTTCCACCCCTCCTTCCCGTTTTCTTTTTTTCCCTTATAGTATTCGCGGTCAGTCGCTTGCCGCCGACGTGGCATGTTTTAACGGCCGCTTTTCGAGGTCCGGTGACGTCTAACAACGACAATCCAGATAATGAGATCCACTAGCCCTTCGACTTATGTCTATCGTTTGGCTTTTCTTACTGTTCGGTCGAAGATTTAATAATATTTGCGCCGCCGGTGTTCGGTTGTTAGCTGTACTACTATTTAAGTATAATATTAAACAGTTATTATTTGGGTAACCGTAAATCGTAACGCGGCGCTCCGAATAGGCAATTCGAGTACACATGCGCGCACAACTGCCACGGCCGGGATAGCATGTCAGGACGGCGTTAGCAACATTGTTTCGTTTTAATGAATATATTTTTATATGTACAGGTAGTCTGTGTTATTATTATACATACTATGTTGGCCCGTCGAACAAAGAACGTCCGTGTTTTAACTTTGACAAAAACAAAAAGAGAAAAATAATAATAAAAAATTACAATACAATGCCGGGAATGTGTTTCAAAAGAAAGCATAACGCCCACGAAAGTTTTCCTTGAAAGGTCTGTGCGGATAAATTTGTCGAGAATATCGTACATAATAATAATATGATATTGACGATAATAATATTATCATACCGTATAGAAAGGGTGCGCAGTGTGAGTCAACTCAGCCTCTACCGAAATGACGTTTACTTTTTGGCATCAGAATTCAGCCAAATCGTTTTAAGGATCCCCTCTTCTCCCCTTCCTACCCTAAGGCTTTATCGCGCCAAACTTGAATTATTTTTCACAATCAATCCGTGGACTAGGCCGTTGTTTTGGCACGTTTACTCCAACGCAAATGTTTTATTATGACGTGTGACATTATATTTGTTTTCCTTGTGCGCACTGTGTTATTAACGTTGTGTTATTGTTTATTTCCAGAACACCATCACATCTTTGTGGGCGACCTGAGTCCCGAAATCGAGACGCAAACACTGAGGGAAGCGTTTACACCCTTCGGCGAAATATCGTGAGTACAATATGTAATAATATGTAACTGTTTCATTTCGTCTCGGCGACAATAATAATAACAAAAAATTAAACCACCGCCACCAAAAAATAAAAAAATCACACTCGGTATAGCACAATATGTGTTTTAATATGCACGATATCAATTTGTTTAAATAATCAGAATACAAAATGAAATAGGTACCACCTCCATTTAAAGTAATATAGATAATTATTAACATGTTAAAATGGTTTTTTTTCGGAAGTAACACTTTACACCAACGCAACGGTAGAAAGTTTTGTACAAATGAAAGTTGCAAAGCATGTAAAATAATATATTAAAATAAGTTTAAAACGAGACGTAACCCCGGTTTGTAATATTGATAATTTTTGAAATATGCAAATACACTTTTAACCGAAGTTTTGATAAACGCAACCTTAATTGAATAACAATAAATGACTGTCGGAGTTATTTTTTTTCCCCATTTGTTTATTGTCATTTTTGTAATTTCAATTGACATCATGTCGAACCGAGCGAATATTTTCTTTTTCGCTTACAGGTTTCTGGCGTTTTTATTTTTTACAAACGTTCAATATAGTATATAATCCCACTGCTGTATTGAATATTTTCGTCAAGGACAAGGGGGTGAGGGGGGGGGGGTGGACGAGGGTAACGCGATAAAGGTAAACATAAAACAAAAACCAATTGTTTCGAGGAAATTTCAATAAAACGAAAACTCGAGTCTTACCCGAAATGGAATCTTTGAAGGCCTACACATTTTTTTGACAGACAATACAATAATAGTAGACATCCGTCAATTGGGTAAAATAAGTTTTATGTTATATAAATATATATATTTGGAAAAACCAATTGAACGGTACAAATTTAAAATAATAATAAAAAACTTTTCATCTAAACCACCGGTGTCGGCTTTCGGTGTGCTATAAACTACATTAAACTATATTATATTGTCGGTGTTGTTAATTGTTAAACTTTCTGAAACGATCAATATCGACTATCTCGACGGGCACGTGTTTGTCGCAAAACCGCATTACGCATAAACTTTGATGGATTTCACGAACGGAAAGCGGCAAGAAACAGCTATATATATAGTGTATATAATATACGGCCAAAACGTTTTCCAGACAATACAGTACTGTTTACTATAATATAATATAGTGTACAGTATTAATATTATTATCAACGTTATTTGTGACTTGTGGTGACTTACCGTGCGCCGCCACGGTAAACCTAAGATACTGTCGATCATTTAGATATCCAAAGATCGAGCTATAAATAATAGTATCTATGTGTCTTTTTTGTATAAAAAAATAATATCTATAATATTATGCTTGGACGGGTACCCTATCCGTAAACGAACCGAGCTTTTTTCATTTTTTTTTCTACTCTATAACACCGAACCCTTGTTATTCGTGTCATATATATATATAAATATATATATATATGTGTGTGTTGTATATCAAATGTATGTATATATATATTATTTTATACGTAAATCGTGGAGCGTGTGCACCAAGAGCGTTGGCTGGCGACGAGGGCAATCGTTCTAGATAAGCCAAATATGGACGGGATCAATCCATAATACCTATATACATACATATAGGCTATAATATATGTGTAAGGGGAGGTCGTGTGTGACGGGGCGAAAGGGACGGAACGACGTGTGCGTACGCGAGCGATAGCGGGTCGATGGGCGACGAGTGGCAGGCAGAACAAGGGGAAAACCCTCGGCTGAGGGGCAATAGGAGAAAAAAGCACAATACGGATGGTGATCTTAAATGATGGCCAATCCCGGTGCTCCGGGTGCGCGTTATATTATATTATTCAATATTGACACGCGTTAGAACGGTTATGCTAACGGGATACTCGAGAAGAAGTCAACCAAGGAGGGGAGGGACCGAGCCGGGGAAATACCTATATAGTGTTCTTAAGGGGGGGGGGGCGAACGCCGCTTGTAAATCGTCGGCCTAATGACACTTGCAATGAGAATAAGCATATACAGATTTTCAGGCCCAGAGATACAGATTTTAAAGCCTGGAACTTGAATTGAACCCAATAGAGCCCCCGGATATTAAGATTCTCTGTATTTGAAAAAAACACCCTGTTGTCTGTGTCTGTGTTTGCGCTAGTTTAGAATGTAACTAATGAAATAATTTGAGTTCCTTTGAGCAGTTACCACAGTGTGAGCCTTGTGAAACGTTCACGTGTGTGTTTATGAACACAGTCTGCACACGAGGTTGTCTTTTGTGAACGTTAACCGTCTAAAAGTTAGCCAGCCAATACCGCGTGTGTTTTGTAATTAAGAGTTTCAAACTATTGCCGAAACATACAACAAAAAGCGCCACACACACACACACACAAACTGTGCACTCAGCAACTCACATATTATTATTATTATTATCATATTGTAGTTGATTAACCGTATTAAAATCACCGTTGTAGTTGTTATTTAATAGTTTTCCTCGCGTGCCAACTCATAAACTTGTTGAAGCATCTCACGGGAGGCCACGAGTCCCACACAGACTGTTATTTTCCTTATTGGGTTTATTACAATACTTTAAATCTGCCAAACACTATTAGGGATAATTATTACGATTGTTCACCAATATTCTTGAAACCCGTGTTGGTTGATTACAAAAAAAAACAAAAAAAACCAGCTGATCATTTGTTTTAATTAAAGTTTGACGCGAAATCCGTATTAATGGTTGTTATTGGTTCCTGGCGCGCGAACGATGTTATTATGATTACCGAGTTAAAAGAGCATGAAAATAATTAATGAAAAATATCATTCGCCGTTCGTCTTGAATAATATTTTCCCATTGAATAAAAAAAATGTTTAAAAAAAACACCCAACGAAATATATTTTAATTTACAAAATATAAACCGTCGCAACCGAATCGATATCTATAAAGTGTCTTGTTTGAACACGACTTAATCTATCTCGGTCTGACAGCTATTGTTCTTAGCAACGCTGCCGTGACATTAATTCACGACCTGCCGCCCAAACTTGGGGCACAAAAGCTGCACAAGATATTTTCATTTGATTAAACGCGCAAACGTTGCCATTATGATAATAATATTGCTATATATTATTTCGACAATAAGAAACGGCCGTGCACCGCTAACCGAGGCCGCCGCCGTCCTTTGTTCTTCTGTGCTGCTGATGGTGCTTCGAGAATCGCGCGTTTTCGGATTGAATCAAAATATTCAAGACGCAGAGTAAACACGGAAATGCACGATAATATAATATCAGAGCTGTGTATAGACATATATATACACCAGCTATTTATCGGCCGACAATGGAAATTAAAGGCAATTATTGACAAGGCCAGCGCCCCAGGGTATACCGTTTCGGATTTTACATGTTAAAATATTATTCCAGCTCGACCGACAACAAATAAGACAAAAAAACAAAATTAAATCTAAAAACAACTCCCCGCAACGGGGTCGTTCCGCCGCAAACATTCTTTATTTTAAATTATTCAGCTCCTAAAGAAAATGAATCGTTTTGTTACCGCAGAACAAAAGTAGTAACTGTCGCGGATGAAAAAAGAAAAGAACTTTTGTTTTTCAACTGTTTTGCGGTCTTTTGTAAATATTGAATTGAAGAAAAGCGCATAGAGAGAGGGGGAGGGGGCGGAATTAAGCATGTCGAAAGGACCCCTGATCCCTCCGGAAATGAAATAAGTAATTAAACGAATTTCGCCTAAAGTCAAACTCAACTTATTCCATTACACTATCGTTTGTTAAATTATCAATGAACTCGGAGGTTTTTGTATAATTTATATATTTATATTGTTTTACTAGCAAACTGAAAATGGCAAGTATATGCGACGACGGTAATCAAAACTTTTGGAACAACATAATATAATACAGTTAGTGCAAATGCGATTACAGAGCCGAATATGGTTTATTTTAGACCGGTTAAAGGAGGGGGAGAGTGAGGTTTTAATTCTCTAAAAAAAAATTGACAAGAAGGGTCCCTCAATCTTAAATTTGTTGTATAATATTCTTGAGCGTAAGATAAGAAAAAATGCATAGGAATCTACTTTTTTTTTACATTTGCATTTTCATATTTTTCTAAACGATTTTCATTTCACGTTTTAATGGTTTGCATAATATGGTTTATTTTCGTTCGTGAGTCGATCCATGTGCTTCTTATCGCCGGTGTACCTCCTCTAAAGCTGAGAATCAGTACAATGTTCTATAATGTTTCAATATGTATGGGTTTTTTCACAAACGATGCCAATAAAATTGTAAATAATACACACAATGGTAGTACCTACGGCGGTAGGTAGCTTATAGAGAATCCAGTATAAATACAAGCACATCTGATTCGCTTTGTAGCTATATTTTCAGAATCGTCCACGAGGGTAATATAAGCCAACGGTGTACACGTTTGCATTGCCCCGTGGCAAACTTCCGCCCTGATACGTTTTCAATATACATAATATTATAATAATAGTAGAGAAATACATATATGTATAATATATTATCCGGTCGGCCGTAGTAAGTACATATGAAATGTACAACGGTAATAATAATAATATTTCTAACTTTACAAGCGGGCACCGTTAAGTAGTACAGTAACATTATTTTGCTGCCACCGTCGAACGTGAACGGATATTGTTAGATGTGTTTTATTTGAAAGCAATCGTTCTTGGTCATAATAATAATAGTATGTTGTTTGTTTTTTTTTATTTGACTATAGGGGAAGGAAAAGTACGTTATCAGTGCTCTCCATAAAGCCATACGGACGATAATAGGGTATTGTCAGTGGAATTTTTTTGTTGTGCAACGGGGTTAATACGTTGGAGTGGGGGGGAGGGGAAGAATCGATTTTGTTTTTCTTCTTTTTTAGCGCGCTGTAAATCGTGTGAGGAAAAATCCGAACGGTAATGCAGACGGATCAGCGTAGCTCACAATCAGCTACACAGACGAAGGATATAATATAATATATTTTATACGAACGCTGTTTATCACCAAACGAGCGACTACGCCTATTAATAAAAAAAAAAGCATTTCCAGCTTTTTCTTTTTTATCTCTTCTATTTCTTTTGTTTTTTCCCCCCGTTTTCTCGCGGCTCCACCAAAATATAATCAATCTAAATGTGTATTTAGATACAAGTGTATATTTTATATTTTTCAGTAAACACATTTTATCAAACGGACCGCGCAATGAAACCTAATAATGTTACCAAGATAATTATTATGTGCGAGACAGACAGAGTCAAGTCGGGCTATGTGTTTCAATGTAATCATTTTTGCCCAAACTAGCTCTATCTTATTCCAATTTCATAAATGTAATGTTTGATTAATCGTTATACATTGTCTGGTGTCAATATGCGCGGCCCATATTATTATCAAGTCTAACCAAGGGTGGTCCATCTTTACATATCTTCTGCCGTGTTACCAAACGGCCCTGCTTTCTTGCTGCAATTAAATTAAAAACCGCAAAATGACGGTAAATAACTTCTGCGAAATTGTTATCTTCTCCTTTGTTATATGTATATTTCTCCCCTCATTGTATTCCTTTGAACCCTTATCTTCGCCTCCGTCTGATCTTCTTTTCCGCCTCCGTTCTTTCGCTTAAATCTCGCTCTTAATATGTACAATAATTGTTCTTATCTGGTATTTATATTTTCTCCAGTGGCTTACATTATCCGCGACTACTTGAAACTCGGTCCGTCTACACCCCCATCTCTTTTCCCACCACAGTTTTATCAAAATTTAGCCTAATCTTAGCGGACGAGTCAGCTTCGACTATATATCTTTATCCGCTGTCATACTAGCGTTTCTTATTTGGTCTTTTCTTAAGCTAGAGTTCATTCCTATGAAATACAATACAGTTGTTGTGTAATATTATCATTAAAATCAAAATTTTAAGAAATTTATCCTCCAGAATTTACATATCCTCCCTCTTGGGAAGTATAATCGGTAAATCATGAATATTAAGTATTTAGATTGATAGCGTAAAGCCTAGACAGCTGACATCAGCGGTATACTAATATGTTGTTCCTCGCGGTAACCAATAACCAAAACTTATTTGATATAATGTATTCACCGAAGGGGCTTTGATGAATTATTCATGAACTGTTTGGTCTTCAAAATCAAGAACCGTAGATTTAATTAGGCCGATGGATCCGGATCAAATGTAATTATTACCAATCAACAACGATCCGAATTTATTTGCATTACTGACAACGACTGGAAAATCACATTGTTTTTATTTTGAACCTATAGGATATATTTTTACATTTTTCATACGGCCGTATGCGTTTCCAATTCAAAAGTTCCGGAAATATGCGAAACGAATAAAAATATAAGGTCCCGATTTTACGGTGTCTTGTTTTTTTTTTGTTCTTTATCCTATCCAATAAATGGAACGGATGGGCGTAAGGAAAATGTTTTTTTTTTGTATCCCTCGTGCGCCTCACACACTCCCAGAGAGTAAATATCAAGATTTACCCGAGCAAAGCTCATTAAGTTTGCGACTCGTCCTTTTATTTTTTCGCCTTGTTCAGCACAATTCACCACGTCGGCATCGTTTTTGCACAGCCTACGCCACCGATTCTTGTGTATAGATCTATATATATATATATGTGTGTGTGTGTATTTATTATTTTTATCATATGTGTGCATGTATCCTGTGCTTTTTTTATCCGTCTGCTCGTTTTTCAAATTTTTTTTTTGTCAATTTTTCTAATGCGCCAGCAATAAAGGTGTACGGTGTTCCATGTAAACTGTTTTATTCCTTGGACGTGCCGGAAAATCAACCGAGCAGAGCAATACTTATTACAAGAAACAATACTCGTTTTACCTTTGTCGACGGATTCTCAAAGACGGTCGCACAAAATGGGCATGGGATTTCTCTTGGAATTCCAAGCGCGTAATAGTTCGACCAGAGCCACTCGATTATTGTATATAGTTAATAGTATCCACTAAATCTACCAAAGAGACAAGTACATATAAATAAAACATGACTAACAGTTGTGTCTCAAAACGGCTTTACTTTTCCATCTATCGATCATAAAACGGTGTCTTTACTATATGGTACGTCTCCTACTATTATAAATCTTTTGAATTACTCCCAGTTACACACCTTTAAATACCAAATTTTCATTAGGATCTGAGAGGATAATTGCAAAGCAATATGCAGTATATATGTATACACATTATACAGGGATAAACAAATACTAGCATAATTGTATTCAAAGCTGGCAAAATGATTTACAAACGTTATGGTGGATATTGTATATTTGTTGCGCGCGTTCAACAGCTATTGTCTGCAGTTGATTTGATTTTTGCCAGAACAAAGAAACTAGAATACAGTGGTGAAAAAAAAATAAAAAGGGGTTGAAAGCGATATTCGAAAATCCCCCCCCCCCCAAAAAAAAACATACGGTTTACTTTCATCGTTTACAGGTATTTAGATATTCTATTCTATTGGCCTATACAATATTATATGGCTGTCGTTGGCGGTGCTGTACGCATTACGGATTGCTGTTGTGCTTTTTTGTTTTATTCCTTTGGCCTCGTCCGTTCGGTTTTTTGCATCTCTTGGTGCACGGTTTATATTATACTGTTGTTCCAAGCTTTGGAGATACGACTCGTGAACGTACTTATCATTATCATCCCCGGCAAGATACACCTACACGTGCAATGGTACAAGGTTAAAGTACTTTCCAACCCCCCTGCAACGGTTCCATTTCCATGATGAGCAAAAACCGTTGTCGATAGAGGAATATCCCTACGTAGAACACAGCAGCAGCTGCTGTAATTTATATTTTCGATACACACGAACGGACGAGTTTAATAATAATAACAAGTAGCAACAACAACATTGTAACAGGATATCCTGCACCGTGGCATTCGGTATATTGTATTACACAAATGACCTACAATATTTGCAACCTTGCACTCATAGGTATACTTATATATTATTATGAAAGGTGTTTTTGTTATTGTACAAGATACGAAAATCGCGTTCATTTTCTATAAACGCACCGTTGTTAGTATTATAAACAAATAGCGTCGGTGGTCTTGTGACAAGCTCGAATCTAGCCAGAGTCCGCTTTTGGCGAATCAACAGAAAAATATTATAATATATCACGTATAAAAAGAAAACGATTTTGCACACAAGCCTCGATAAATATTAACCGCAATAATTCGTTTATTTTTGTATTTTCGTTTTCTATTTATACCCCTTAGGCATGGGGCAAAAGGGGCAAAAAAAAACATCATAATAAAACGCAAACAAAAACCCAAGAGGAAATTGAAAATTGATGTTATACTTTTGTTGACTTAGCACGTTTGTACATTATACAGAATACACACGTAGAAATATTGTTCGGTAGGTATGTTTGCCGTATAAAAAAATAGTATTTTTAGACTCTTGCCAGCAGCTTGTATGTTTGTGCATGTAAATTGTCAATTACGCTACACTAGATTGATGTTCTGCACGCCATCCAATAGGGAAAACATAATAATGGCCACATACTGCAGTACGCGATTGATTCGTTTTTATAAATTATATTATATATTGTATTGCTTGTGTACAAGGAAATAGTATATAAATAATGTGTGCATGCCAAACCTAAACGCAATAATAGTTCCGGGAGGGAAAAGGGGTAATGCGAACGGTTCTCATTGGTTTTGTATGCATACGAAAAATGTATAATAAACATTATGTTTTTTTGTTATTTCCAAATTGATAAACAATAACACTATTCAAAATCCGTCGAGATTATTCGAACATAGATGAACACCTAGGCCACTGGAGGTGTTTTAATAGTGTATATGCACCAACTACCATATTTGTGTAAAACGTATAAGCGTCTTTAACTATATAATGATGATTTGTAATGTTTCAGAGATTGTCGGGTAGTGCGAGATCCTCAGACATTAAAATCCAAAGGCTATGGCTTCGTATCGTTCCTGAAAAAAGCTGTAAGTATATATATATATATATATGTTTGTGATTATTTTTTCTTTGTTCAAGAATATAATTAAATTAATAAAAAAAAAGTGGGGAAGGGTGCTCGAATAATTTAAAGGAAAGCACTTAGGTTCTTTATGGGTACTCTTGTTCATCATGATATCGATAAAAAAAAAAAAGACAAAAGGATTTTTTCTGTTTTTGTTTGTAATACGATCAGATTATCGTTGAAAGGTTTGCCCATTCAATGACCTTGCGTTATTATTTTATTTTTTATTTTTTGCTCTTTTTTTAATCATAAAATACATTTTTCCACTACAATACCGAGATGTTTAAATGCCTAAAAGATTATTATTATTTATTTTTTTTTGTATTAAATAATCTCTACTATTATAATACCTACTGTAAACATAATTAATTTCAGACAATAGCGGAATTTGTTTTTTTTTGCAAGTTCCAAGTACTCTATTCGGATATTATTAGTCCTGTTCATAAACCTTTGTATTCGAAAATGTTGTAAAATCCACTTCATTTAAACCGTCCTAGATTTATCCACTACAGGTGAAATCACAGTATAATTGTTTCACGGGCATGTAGTTTATTTTTTTATTTTCTCTCACAGTGCTCGTACAACGTGTGTTGTATATAATAATAACCTACTAAAGTAAGCGCAATGTTAAGTCACGGCGTTTTATCCGGCACCCAAAACGCCATAAAGAGAATTACCACGGAAAATTGAACTATTTACGTTCACTGTACTCCGGTATAACTATACTTATATACACACTAACGGGCTTTATGTAATACCGAGTTTTACCTAGTCCGACCAGCGTACATGTACACTTTGTTTCCGGTAAACACGAATTGGAAATAATAGCTCAACCAAATTGAACGAGTGAACAACGTTTTTCGCGTTTAACCTTTTTTCTTTTCTTTTTTTTTTACCGTTTAGGTCTAATGGTTTTAGCCGAAGCGTCGAAAATAAAATAAAAATGCGCTATGAAGTTTTAGATTTAACAACTGACCTAAAACGCGGGCATTGGAAAACCGACCCGCTTGATTGGCTAAATAAAATATCACATTTTTAAAACACCTATGCCAACTGAACTTAATTAGGTATAGGGACACAATAAACCCTTAGTTAGAACAACTAAACAAATAGTTGCTTTTACTAAACATTTTGATGGCCAAACATTTATTTACTATTATACCAACTATAAATCGTGTCGCACAATTTTAGTTGATTCGACTATATCATTTTTCCCGTGTGAATAAATAGTTTTTTTATTATTAATATGATATTACTCATAACATTACTTTTACCGACAAGTCATGCAAACGGTACGTAGTCGATGAACACAAACGTATTATAGTGTTCGCATACTATGACTAATACTGTATACATGGGTTGCTGTTTTTTTTTTTTAGTCGTTTGATGATAGCTCGACAATTAGACTTGATATGAGTGTACAAATAGGGATGCTTCGTAAAAAAAGGGAAACGCTAGCTTTGTTCAATTAGTGACAAAAAAAACTGCTCGTTTTGTTACACAGTACATTATAATTTGTGTTACATAGAACAATATATGATAAACTGCACTCGGTTTTTTTTCGTTTATAATATACAAATGCATACTGCCTATTACATAGAGATTCGCCCTAAGTATCTATAATTCAATCACAATCTTCGTCACACTGTATGACAAGACAATAATTTGGTTGGATTTTATTCTGAAGTCGCTTTTATAATGCGTTTGTTCTGAAAGCAATTTTTGTTTTGTTTTTGTTATGACATTATTGTTTATTATGACTTTTATTGTTTAATAAATGGACTGTTATTTTGGAAAGATTGAATCGGTTTAATAATCTATTTATACGAGATTTTTGTTTCAAGCTTCGATGCGATATTTTTTTATTCGGATTTACAGTCACCCTCTTTTTGAGGGGATCGAGCTTTTTCTCGGTATATAATTCGATTAACCGGACTATACCGAATAAATGAACCGTTAACCGAATTAAAGACACTTCCGGGTAACAGAGACTTTACCGGTTTTTAATATGGTTTTTTTTATTTATTATTATTTTTTTTTTCACTTGTCGTTCAATGAGGACATATTGCCCGTTATTATGAGCAAGATGGAAATAGCCGTACGGTGTCGGTGCACGAATTACGACCCTCCTGCGACTTCATTACCCAAGTTTGGTGTGTGACATTATAATATGCTGCGTAGTCACAATTCCCTCGACAGGTTTGTCGTAAATCAAATAGCGCGATAATAACTTTTGAAAAATTATCAAACTGCACAAAAAGTTCTTTACAAGTATTACCGCACCAGCCGGGGCTAGGGGGTGGAGGGTGAAGGTTTCGATTACTCTCCAAAGTCACCGTCGTCGCTGTCATCGGTATATAACTACTATCTAATTAACATCGGAGTATTCCAATTTCGAATACTTCCATTTATTATTATAATAATAATATAATGTCACTTTGGAAACTGACGCTGTCTTATTATATTATGCCCCGGCGGAAGCCTATGCGGAATACAATGTAAATAACAACGATGCGCATTGAAAACGCCTGGTAACAAAATGTATACTATATTTTGTGCCACGAAATAACTCTCCCGTTAACGGTTAGTTAATTGAAATTTGAATAAAAATTAAAATGCGATTTTTGAAATAATATTAAGAGGATTTGGGGAGTATTCAAAGACGGTGACCACTATATTTTAAACAAAATACATTATACTCGTACAACAGTTTAAAAACAAAAATAGTTTTAAATGCCTATTTTTCAACCCTCTGATTAACTGATCTCTAACCACTACTTTTTGAATTATCAATTACTCGAGACTAGGACGAAATAGCCACAGAACAATACACAAATATAATATTGTAATATGATAAACTTTAAAGGCATTGTAACAACCAACTTTAAATAACAGTAAATATATTCGGTTGGACGATATTAATTGTTTTTTTTTAAACCAATTCGAGGGATTCGTTTAAATTTAAAAATCTACCGGATAAAGCTATTCCAATGTACATAGTTATTTTTCAGCTGACAATTTTTAAATAACATAATATTTTACCGATATCAATAAACACCGAGCACACTCCTGTTATTTCAATAATATATATTAAAATCAAATTAATTGTATACAGAACTTTTTCCTTTGAAATAAAGGCTTTTATTTTCTTCGATCGCGGAGGAGGAGCGATGTGTAATAATTATTGTAACGTGTAAAATAATAAAAAGCATTTTTCAGCCGAGTCTACAACCACGAAGAGCATTTTCATGTCTCGTTGAAGTACCGAATAAATTTAGAGTAGTGGTAAAACTTTAGATAATGAAATAGTATATTAACAAGCAGTAACAAGCTAGTATCTAAGGTGGCTAGTAAACATATCAAGTTTCTGGCTAATATTTTTGTATTTTCATAATATCTGGCCTAAAACAATTCATAGGAATATGTCATCTTGAATTATTGAATTTTTTTTTCAGTTCTACTTTGAACGTTGTGAATTCAACAATATATCACTTATCAGATAACAGCGTAACAAGTTTTTGGTGCCAAGTTTTTCATAACAGTTTTTTCGGTTATGTGCCAGAGCTAAGACATGAAAATGTCAAAACAATAAATTTTTAAAAAAATTGTTAACACAGTACCATTATGGTATTTTATCCATTTCTATACGCCATAGAAAGGGTGGTAATCATATCACGAGCGTCATTCGCTCTATATGTATAGCGACGATGAGTTTTTCTCAAACAACGTCTACTGACAAGTGTTTCGATTATTTCTTTGTGGGGCTTACACACACACACACACACACACGGGAGATAAGAAAAATACCACACACACATGCAGTCCAGTAAACAAACTGGCACGCACATAAGAGTGAGCTCAAAAATTGCCCCTTAAAGTTTTGATGGGATGAACGACGACGACGACGGCGTTTTATCGTCTTGTAAACGAGGTCATATTCAATACAAGCGGCGGCGGCGTTAATGGTTTCCACCCCTTATGCGAGAACGGAGTGGGGCAAGGTGCGATGCGAGACGAGCGGTAGAAGAAATTGCCCGAGTATAAAAGTGTGGACGGGGGAGGGGGGAAGGAGAGGGGAGGGGTGACACGAATTCAATAAGATAAAAGAGATGATGTTGATGATGAAAAATGTGTACACAAAAACGCGCCGAATATCGGATGCACACACACACACACCACCGCAACAAGCGACGTATTATCTTACAGCCGTGTATAAATAAATAAATATTGTTTTCTTTGAAAAAAAAAAAACCGAGAAAATCCTCTTCTCGACTTATTACATTATCGGGTTTAGGCTTGTACTATTAAATTCCGCTGCGGTAAAGTCTTCTCCGCAAATGCATCCGACCGTCGTCGTTCCCGGCCATATACACACATATACCGTCGGCGGCCAATTTAATTTTCCTTAGACTTATTTGACCGCGCGGGTCCACTTGGAAATAGTTCTTTTAGAAAATACACACACACACAGAGTTTTCGGGATAAGCTTACTTGCGGAAATGTTTAACGAACCGAAACGCGCGGATAAGTACGGAAAGAGCGGAGGGCGGAGGGACATGTACCTACTCGCCTTTGACCCGGCACACCGGTCTCTTCGTCGATAGGTCGAAACGGTTACTTAAGCCGGCGACAAAGTCTTAAGACCGATGTCTGTGTAACGTTAAAAGTTTCTTTTTCGGGATAGGTAATGTCATCGTGTTATAAGATTTGTGGGGCTAAAAAAAAACCAAGTTGAGTCATTTTGTTTTGTTTTCACCCCTCGCCCCTCAGCCTGATTTTGTATTATTTAAATTAATAGTATGATTTGCTTTGTGCTCAATAACGGTGGTCCGAAAAACCAATATCGTCCGTCCAATTCGTTTACGGTGTACACGACCGCACGGAAATTAATTTCGAACCGTCGACCCTTTATTAAAAAAATAATAATAATAATAATAATCGAATCCAAACCGCGATTATAACTGCGGGGGTTAAAGATAATAATAACATTACACCAAACCCCGAAAATTTGTCCACAGTGTGTATAATTATTTAGTCGATTCAATGCGATTAATCAGCGATATAGATAACGCAAGTTATGCTCCCTATAAGAAAGCATTGAAGAAAAATGTATAAGTGACTCCTTTGAATTTTAAAAATGTATTATTGTATAATTAGTTGTACTAATCGAGATATATTAACGTAAAAAAAAAAGATAAAACCATTTGGTCAACAACTGTAGCGGTTTTTAAAAGATATTCCCATATTACATCACAAATGTTATATTAAAAGAACTTAAATTGTCCAATAGGTCGCGTTGTTGTTAATGCCTTAAAAATATAATCTTCCCGCCAATTTAGGAGATAATTAGAGAGTAGTATTATTATTTGTTAACGTGCAACCACTATCACACATTAAAGTGATTCAACTTTTACCTGTAATATAAGTCACTGTGTTATTATTTTTTTCTTAATATTAAAGTGTATAAACACAGTGCCCAAACTCATAAAGCGTTTCGAAATTTAGAAGAGGCAAAAAGTAATAAATCTGTAATCACAAAGAAAGTGTGCAATGATTGCAACTGGAATACATTAAAAAACGGCACTCTTCAGAAAAATCAAATATTAAACTCCCAAATGCGCCAGTTAAAATCAAAGCTGCAAAATAAATTATTACAGCAAAAGAAATATATTTTTCAATATTGCTAAATGAAAGTTGTACATAATAAAAAATATTATAAATTGAAAATGAGGAAAAAACGTAGGTACGTCAGTGAAACATTTAATTTGTTTTATTTATTTATTTTAGAAAACAAAAACACAAAAATAATATTAATAATAATAAAAATCGAAATCAAAAATATTTAAAATTTAATATTTTTAAATATTTTATTTTTTGCTGTATACAATCACAAGTGTTATACTATATATTATCTATATTCTATACAAAGTTCAACTATCAACTCCGAGCTTACAGTAACCGCATAATATCAATATCTTAGTAATCATTCATTGTTAAATGGATACAACAACAAGAAGGTTTATTGTGTTTGCAGCTGTACGATATAATATTCTTGTTAATACCGTGTCGTGGCAATAAGAGCGTTTTATACGAGGAGCCGAAACGGCCAAATTGGGAAATATTATTATTAATACAAAGCTACGCGGGTAGTTATTAAATATATTATTATTACGGCCATTATAACATTAGTGTACGGATAATTATGTTTTCACCGGACCCGTTTGTGGAATGTGTACGACGTGTATTATACACACACACACATACCTACACAATAACAGAACTCCAACCCCATTGTCGTGACTCATGGCCGAACTAACGGGGGCAATAACTCGGATATAGGCACGTAACGAGTTGCACGAAAATTAATACTTACCCCCGAAAAACCGGGCAAACCCGTGTCAAATGCTAACAAAAGCCGACAACGGCAAAAAAAAAAAAAAGAGCGTATAGTTAAATATATATATATATATATCTAAAGTACCCTTTTTGTCTCAAATGAACGCTCGGATTGCCTGAAAAAGAAACTAATTAAGAATTATATTTCACCAGAGGGGTCGACGACAATATTATATATAAGGATGAAACGACGCTTATTCGTATATTTTTCTCCTTTTCACAGTTGGACAGTTGTGTTAGGCCTACCTTGTATGTTTGTGTGGTAGGAGATGAACCTAGAAGTACAGATACCAGGACCAGATGGATAGGGCGACTCTGTTATGGAATGAGATGCAGAAAATAAATATTATAATATTATAAACGTCTCGGACAGGGACCGGCGATCCCGGACGTTCTAGAAAATTTATATTCGAACACACAATAATATTATGGGAAATGAAGGGGGGGGGCAAAATTGCAAGTCCAAACGTGCGATCCGAATCAAGTTATATGTATTTTTCTATTATTCGATACAAGTGTGTTCGATGTGCTGACTGTACTCGACCCTCTGGCACTTGTCCGCTTTTGGCTCCATCGTCGTGTAATATATATTAGCAATTTTCCACCGATCAACGTAATCGGATTTAAAATTTGTTTTTTATTACTATTTTTTTTTTAATTCCACGTATATCTGTTGATGCCGACTCCTAAGAAAAGTATTAATGTCCGTTTGGTAATAAAAAAATGTTTTTTTTTTTAAAACAAGCACAGTCCATCGTTTTTAAAAGGGATACACAGGGCGGCTTGCGCGTACATAGCTATATAGGGTGTATTACCACGGCGGCGGATTGTCGGATAAACATATATATATACACCAGCGACGTTAGGCTCGATAATAATTAATTTAAATCCGATCCGAGTTGAATAATGGACTCGAGTTGCCGGTCGGTTAATCAAATGGCCGTTGCGTTGCCCGAAAACCGATTTAATCACCGCCTTTTGTTTGTGTGTGCTTGCAGGAAGCCGAAAGTGCGATCAACGCCATGAACGGCCAATGGCTCGGCAGCCGGAGTATAAGGACAAATTGGGCGACCAGGAAACCGCCCACGTTGAAATCGGACTGTAAGTATACAACAATACCGCATTAATAATTATTGTTATCCTTCGTTTTACGTTCTTCGGTTTAGGACTTGTTAGAAAAAGTACAAATAAATACAAATAACGCGAATTTCTTCGAGACTTTAGCTGACAACAATATTGACAATTATTGTAATACGAGTCGGTAATACGATTGCGCACTCGGAGAAACGTTTTATTAGGTTTCTACTAGCCGAGTACATTTTTTACAATATAAAATGATAATAATATTATGTCGATTACTTTTGCACGCTGGTTCGAAAGTGTGCTACCCAATATTTTCATACGCAAGCAGAAAATACAAAATAAACATTAAAACAAATATCGCGAAAACGTTTTTAACATATTTTTGTTTTTTACCAAAAACATTTTATACGTTTTTAAAAGAGATTTTTACAGGGTTTCAAAATAAATTTTTTTTTTGTGCTGTTCAGTATCGGTTCTAACATGGGTTGGTATTTTTTAATCAAGTACCTACATATGTATTTAAAACAATAAATCCATACAAATATTGTTTTCTAATACATTAGCATCGAAGTTAAACAAACGTATAAGCAACCAATAGTTCTCAACGACTTCTGTTGTCTTACCACAAACTAACCGTATTGTATTTAAAGAGTAAATATAGTAATTTTCTACAGTTTGTATCGCCGCTCGGTATCGCATTTATGTATTTAAAGTGGTGTTGTTTAAAACGGGATTTAACCGCAGCCGCCGTTGACCGCGTCATCACTCAAACGATAGCTGCTGTTAAACGGTAGGAAACGACGGTGTGTGTGTGTTGTGTGTGTACACACATTTGACCTTAAACGGGCCGGATTGTAATGACAAAATACACATAAACCCACACATTGTCACATCGCATGTATAATATATTGTTTCGACGGCCGGCGGTGGTGGTGTATCCTTTAGGGCATTTACAGAGCCAAAACACCTTTTTTTTTTTTTTTGTGTATGTGTCCCTTGAAAGCGATGTTTGCGCTTAGATACCCTTTGTAAAAATCAGTCGACAACACTGTTGGCGAAAAATCGTTTTGTTTCGACCGTGGCTGAAAAAAAAAACATTAATTCCTTTCTCCCGGAGTTTGGGGCTATCGCCCGAGGGACGTACCGCATGTAAGTATAACACACGATAGCTGGCTGTATTTATGTATAGCCCGGCCCTTTATTTGTCGAGTGGCACATGTCACTTATTTTTGTTTTGCTTTTGTACATACCGCATTTGTGGTAACTTATCGACGAATGATAATGTTACACCGTAGGCACGTGCACTTCCATTGGTATTTTACTGACAGAAATGCTCTACAGACTACAACAACACTGTGGGACTAAAGCCCATCACTTATGTTGGTAAATTCCACGCGTTGAAAGTTTATTTTTATAATTTATTAGAATATATTGTATAAACTTTATGACTATTGCTCATTTATTTGTATTTGAAGTAATTTTTTTTTCATCCTCTTACTAACTTGGATAAAAAACAATATTGAGTTACAGTTTTTTTTTTTTTTTATAACGATTTTTGTGTGTAACTTTAATAACACATGTTAGCGCGTTCACTGTTGGAGTTGATGTGAAAATGATAATCGTGTAAGTATAATATATGAACATAAAAATGGCGAATATATGTACTCACTATATATGAGCGCACGTCGCTTCTAGTAAAACTTATCGATTCCAGTCGATCCGAGTCAGACCAAAACTCTACCGTCATTTGTCTACGTCGAATTTTATTTCAACTCCACTTCTTTACCCCTTTCAGAAAAAATAACAAGACTCGACAAGATTTCCAAAGCCATTTACTCACTGTCTAACACGGCGAGCGCGTTCGACTCTAAACGATTCATAAGTACGCCCAGTGCCATATTATTACAATACAACTCCTAATACTATATAATAGTATTTAATACGATTTTTATTGGAAAAAAATCTGCACCGCACGATAGTGAAAATAATTGTGTATCCGTTAGTGTATAATAGTTGACAAATTATTATTATTTTTTATCAAATATAATGTTTTTAAAAATAAGGTGTGATTTTCTTTAGCTTCCACGCGATAGCCGAGAACACATTTGTTTTATATTGATATGTTTTTTTTTTGTCTGAAGTCACGATTGCATTATTTTCTGTGTAGACCCGAAATCTTATGAAGATTGTTCTTTGGTTGGTCAAAATTTGAAAAAGTCAACACAAAACCGAGATGTAGTCGGAATTGATAAGGCGTGCCTCTATGCACACATACCCTCAAACCCAACAACCCAACAGCCCTGGTGGGGTTGGAAGTTTTTTGGTAGTGTTTCTATGTGTTTGGTCAAACGTTAATTATAGTAAGATAGCAATATGTACGGATTAATAAATAATAATACATTTATGAAAACAAACAAAAATATGTATAATTTTATGAAAGCGGACGAACACGTATCGACGGGCAGATCACACTATGTCGGCTGATACAGATTCCTGGGGGAAAGGGAAGGGGGTGTATATATATATATATATATATAGATGTATACATGTATAATAAATTACCTCTCCGGGAACGGAATAATTAATTTGTCGTTGTAATAGGCGTTTAGTTACGACGACTATATAATATGTATATGTATATATATATATATATATATATATATATTGCAAATAAGTAGAGGGAGGGTCAGCGGAGAGGGTTTTTCATCTGTGCCTGTGTACATATACTGTATATTATTATTATTGTAGGCCAGCGGTATAGTTTGTAAAAGGGACGTTTTGTGCTGCGGTAACACGGTGGTCGCGTTTGATTGAACGGCTGCGACAACTATACCATTCGTAACTGCCGGCGTCCGCGTCGTTAACGGACTGTATATATATATATACACAGTCCGTTTTTTGGCAGATGATTCATTGTTTTATCTCTTCGCTTCGTCACCACCTTGGGGGACCAGAAATACGCCCCAGTAGCTCTTTCATAAAGTCGCCCCCCAAGACCTTGTGCGCACACACACCACACGACGATTGACCGTCGTCGAAGAGGAGAGACGGCCCAAACTGAGATAGAGAAATAACATACGTATAAATAAAACCTATATAGGGGAGGGTATAAAGCGCGTTTACTCGGCTCTCTCCCCGTCCTCCTTTCTATACTACTGACGTTCCCCGGTGGGCAATAACGCGAGACAAACCGACTGACATCATTGCGATACCCTCCCCTCTTTCACGTCCACTTGCATTTTACCTCAGCCCCGTTCGTCCCTCGCTTTTGCACAACAATACAATAATATATACACACAGCTGTACAGGTGTATCCGTCGCGCGACCGTCTTGTTCTCTCCGTCACACTTAGTACAGGATTCTTTCCTTTTTTCTTTTTTTAATCCATCCTACTTCCTGTTTGCTACACAAGTCCCATTGTCACGGAACGGCAATAAAAACTCGAGATGTTCTCTTATTTTCCTATGTCGCTCTCTTTATCCCGTTTCTCGGGCATGTCCGCCGCCCTTTTCCCAAACTACTATATTATATATTATAATATATACACCCCGGTTGACTGCGTAGACGATTTGCCCGACTGCTGAAAATCGCCCAGACGACTTTTTTAACCGTGAAATATGTAACAACACTCTGTATACGACATTATAGCGTTAGCGGTGCTCAGGTGCCGTGTCGACCGACCAGAGAGAGAACATAATAGTTATTTTTTTCTCTCCTTAAAATATTATTACAACCTCGTTCTATTACTTTGTCTGGAAAGATAAACTTCAAAGAAAAGAAAATACACGACGCTTATTTGCGCCGTTCCCAGATGTGTTGATCACGTTATTTGTTGAAAGAACTCATCAAAGCTTTTAATTAATCTAATCGATGGGTACCTAATTGATATTTCATGTAACACAACATAGTTATAATAACTATAGGTGACTTGGTGCCTTTTTGTTCCTACCTGCGCTCGACCTCTATTGTAATAACATTACTACTTTTATAATGAAAAAAAAATACAAAAAACACGATACTTGCTTTCGCGCTTTTTTACATTGTACACGATTAACCGTTTTTATTTATCAGTTTACTATTAACAGTTTTTAGAGTACTTTACCTGGATATTTTTATGAAAGTGTTTGCTAAATCAAACAAATTTTCTTGTTTTTTTTTTTAATTCATGGACTTTTTTTTCTCTGCGTGCTATGATAAATGAATCATTATATTTTCATCTCTCAGTTTTTTCTCTCTCTTTTTTTATTAAATAATATATTACGGAAACGACTTGTCCGGTTTTTATATTATGCTTAATTGGACCACAGCTGATTGTCTTGATATCTCCATTGTGCGGCGCGCCAATACTAATGGCATGAATAATTGGGAAGGAAATGAGTAAATTAAAATAATATAATAACTGTATTGTATACCTAGCGGAGAAAAAGTTTTTTGAATAGAAAAAAAATATTCGTAGCTGCTATACACACAATCCCTTGGCATCGGAGAGACCGCATATTATAAATACAATATAATAAAACGTATACACGCGGGGTGATGTTTAGTAATAATTATGAGATAGTCTCTTATAATGGCACATAAATAATTTTTTTTTTTTTTGTATGCATCATTAATCGCGCTAAATGTATATAATAGTTTATAAAAAATAGTTTAGCGTCGTTGGATTTCTTATTAAGGAATTTAGTAAAATAATTTCGGATTTTTCTAAATTATATTTTAGTTATTATTAAATACATTTTTGTCTCGATATTTGAAATTAATAATAACCATAAATCATCGGCCATCTCTCGACTACCCTGATCATTTGGAGCGCCAGTTTCGGTCAAAATTAAATGAAAAACAAACCGTGCAAGTTGCCAACTACCAAGAGAGCTGTTTTCGATTTCATATTTGTGTGTAATCTCCAATAGTAATTTGTCTTGAACGAGTGCACCGAATATCCTATTCTATATAAAGAGTTTCTAATGGATTTTTAATCGCCCTGCTCGCGTGCAAATAGTTGGCTCTTCGGTTTTTTT